TGAGCGATGTACTTGCGAAATCAAGTGGAAAACGAGCGCTGCCTCTTGAAAGATTACAAAAATAAATGTTTCAAACGGGCTAAACAGCGCGACTGATAGATGAGCTATCATTTCACGCACGATAAAAGACGTTGAATAAATAACTGCATCAATAATAGAAAACATTCGAATAATCGAGCAGAGTAATGATAAATCATGCAATTTGTTTTAATTATGCAAAATGCAGTGTATTTCAGGCGAAAAAGCAACTGTTCGCTGAATAAAAAATAAATTGAGGACGGAGGAAGCGTGTAAACACAAGAAATAAAAGAATCCTGAACGTTTGGAGGCAAAGCACAAACCAATACAAAGAAGCGTCGCTCGCAGGTCACGATGGGCGCCCGTTTCCAAATGAATGTCTTTTAATTAGAGGGAGAACGAGAATTTACAAAACCTGACGTAGCACTTCGTGCCTGGCGGTGCTTTAACTTTTAAATATATATTGCACAAGGCGGAGCTGTACTTGTTTCGTGTGCACACCGGTGTGTACGATTAGGTAAGCGTCGTGCATACCGGCGCACGCATACTAATGAAGAGCGCTAGTCCACCCTCTTTAATACGTTTTAATACGTTTCTACACGATGTTGCATTCCACATAGCCATCATAATCAACGTAAGGCACGAGCTCGCCGCAATGAAGGCCCGGAGCCTCGGCCAAATCCCCTTCGAGTCATTCTGCGCTGCAACTGACGTGACCCAGTTTAAAAATACGGCAGGGAAAAAACGACGCTACGTATTTGACTTGTGGGGGTCAGCAACATCAGTGACGTCTACGTGTTCGAAAAATTTTTTTCCATATTTATTCCGCGATAATAATTCCCGCGGCAGATTGCACGGTAGCGAAACGGCGCTATTATTGCCGAAATGTGACGCTCTTGTGACTTGTAAGTGACCGAGCATTGCTCCGATGAAATTAATCGCACGAATGCATCAATGCCTCCAGGCGAGAGGCAATCAATCGATTAGCAGTAGTACCGACGCCAATGGACGCGGACAAATTTGCATTCTGTCGCCATCGACGGCACGGAAATGGGAGCGAAAGAACGGCTAGATGAAAAAGGCAGAAAAAAGGCCGGGCTGAAATATTTAAGGCACAGTCACTTTGTTAGCGCGCCTAGCGCCGGGAGAGGATGTGATTTGAGGGTGAGTGATTGACAGCGCTTGCAGTTTGCGCATTAGGGGAGAAAGTGGCGGGACGGACGCACAGCGGAAAGCGGAAGATAATGGAACGCTGTTCGCGTTACGATGATGTCATAAATCGGGACGTACCGAGCGCCCGTTCGTACCGTGTAAATCACGTTTTATATGCTAAACCAAAATCATGTATACATATATATAAGCTTGTTAGCATGTTATTTACAACGTGAAATCTTTTCATTAAACGTCTTATTGTTTTTTTTTTTTTTTCAAATGCGGGAGAAGCATATCAGTTTAACGTTCCGTTTCGCAGAAACGCCATATAAATCTGTCAGGGCAGATTAGTTGAATATCATATATAACGTTCTTCCGCGTGAAAGAAGATCAATAGAAACATATACTTCCACTTCGGTTGAACAACCCACGTCGTTTCATAAAGCAACGCACCTACACACGCGCGCGTGAAATATGTTAAGGTATCGAGGACGCTTGCTCGACACGCTCGTCAAATTCAGGCATGCGAAGTGAAGAGGAAAGGCGCGTATTTGGCACGCGGTTTCCATTTTGCGCGCTCCCATGATCACATAGAATCGCGAATCACATAGAAACGGGGCCGCTATGGCCACGCCATGGACAATGAATTTCAGACGCTCCGTTGACGCACTCTGTTCGAGTATTTCATGGCCGACTATGCCCGGACGTGAGACATATTGCCGTTCTCGACTGGTGGATTTCAATGCAGATTTTATGTTGGCGCGGTAGACACGCATCAGCGATTTTCGAAAAGCGCGTCGGATATCGGTCAGCCGAGCTCGGCGGGCAAATTCCGCTGTACAGAGAGGGTTCGAGATACAGAATTAAAATTTGAAAATGTTAAAAAAAAAAAAGAAGTAAATTACAGGCGGATTTATCTCGTTTTCCATCGTAATTTTGCCGTCACTCTTTATAATATTAATGCCTAAATTATTTTAATTAATAATAATAATCTTAATTAATAAAATTGTAATTGTATCGTACGGACGGATCAAAGGCGGAATCGCAGTTGAAATAACGGCGAAAGAAATATTCGCAAGCGAGAATGTCACTTGTTTGCGCGGTAACTCGTATTAATCGCTCGCGTGACGGCTGCGAAACCATGAGAGACGGTCAGTTAACTCAAAGCCTGAGCACAGACACACGGTCGCTTGATTAAATGCGGTGAACGTGTTACCATTGTTACCGTGTGACCGCAATGCAACTCTTAACACCTCGCAGCAACACTGTAGTAAACGTTCGCGAGCACGAACCGTATTCGAGAGAGAAGGTGAGTATGAAAAGAATGGCCTCAATATCCATAACGATCCCCCACTGTTCCCCCAAACATAAGCAAATTGATAGTCCTCATTAATCTCGTTTTTATCACTTTGGTCAGAACATCACCGGAACAATCGCTGCATGACAAGAAGCGAAACTTCCGAAGACAGGATTCAGTCATTAGAGAACGCTATCGCGTTCGCTTCACGTTAATGATTTAGTGTCCCAACTCGGGACACGCTATTTCTAATCTTAGCAGTATAAACCTTTCAGAATATCAACGTCACAGTTTTTATCGCGTCAAAAGCAAGAACCGTTTAGGAATAATTATTGCGCTTCACATTCACCTTTCTCGAAATTCCGAAATAGAAACTGAGACTTAATTTTGTACATCTCCCCCCCGCTACAACGTGCCTTTGAATCCCGCATACTTTGTATATGGTTTTACGCAAACCAAGCGTTCGCAAAAAACGGAAAAACGAGTCGGACCGTGGAACAATTCCTTCCAAAGGGAAGTAAAAAAAAAAAAAAATTGAACTATGCCGGGAGAACCGAGTAAAGTCGCGATAATCCAATTGCCAATGAACAAAGGGAGAGAAAGGGGGTGTAATGGCGAAATAGAAAAATATCGGGTAGCGGCAGAACAAAGTGGAGGAAGGTTTCGAAGAAAGATTAAAGAGGGGATTTTGTAAGTAGACGCGAGAATTTGCTCCTGGTCTGTCGGCGGGGGGACGGCGGGGCTTCCCGGGGGGTAGCTTTGTCGGGCGAATTCTTGCGGTTTCGGAGCAATTACCTTGACTGAACGCTAACGACGGTTCGTAAATCAGGATGGGATGGAACAACAGCTATTCTATCGACGGCGAACAGCGGCGGTAGCCATCACTCGAACGCGAGTGTTAAATCTCATTCCCCGATACGGCGATTAGAACTGCATATACATACATGCATGTGTACAATTGTATTTTTTTTCTTCTTCTTCTTTAATCTCACAACACAAGAGGGAAAGAGTTATTACTCCTCCGCGAGTTCCGATGACTTTCTTTGCGTTCTTACGTAGAAAATTTATTGCTCTTTTATCAAACGTTCGTTGTTTTGTTTTCGTATAACTTCGTATAATGTATGCTATACGAA